TTTTTTCTCTTTCGTTCTTATTTGATAATTTTTTCTTGATGATTAGAAATCAATTTTTTTTTTTTTTAGTTAATTATTAAATTTATTTATTTTGTGGCTATTTTAATATTGGATTAATAATTATTTTCTGTCTGGATTTATTTATTATCAATTTACTGAATATAGCAGCAAAATTGAAAAAATAAATTAAAGAAAAATTTCAATCACTTTTAAAGTTTCAGTTCTTTTAGTCTCACTCTTTAAAATTTTGCTAAATAATATTGAAGTTTTGAATGCCTAAATTTAATGATATGCCTAATGTAAGGGCCTAATGGAACTATGTTTTCATTATTCATTATTATATTATGTTATGTTATGTACGTCTTTTGAGCATCCCCGTGCCAGATAATTAGCAACAATTCATGATATTCCAAGTTATAGAGCGAGCCAAGCCATCATACTCAAATAGGACATGAGTGGAGTACTCCGTGACTCGGTTGCAGAATCTACATCGCTGCTTGTTTGATCTGCCAAATTTTTGTAAATATGAATTAAAGGGTCGATGCTCAGTGGGAAACCCCGATAGAACCCTCAATGAAGAGCGACTCCTCCTTACATTGTCCCGAATACCCGCGATCCGTCGACCAAAAAAGCCTTTGCACCGCGCCTTTCCATCTAGGCAGGCAAGACCTAGTCAAGAAACCTCATAGAATGGCCCACACTCGGACCAATTTTAAATTATTAAAAAATTAAAAAGAATATTTAAAAATTTATTGGTATTGGCTTTGTTTTTTGGTAATAACTTTCTAATTTATGAATGTAATTCAATTTCGAATGAAATTAAAATAATTTTGTATGTATACGTACATCAATCAAAGAAAATATTTCTTTAGAATACACGGTTGTATAAGAAAGCATTCATTTCGCCCTCAATTCGTTACCCATCTGATAAGATGATGATATTCACTTTTGGCTAAATGATACATTAAAAAAGGCGTTTATTAAGAAATCAAATACCATCAGATAATTGAAAAAAAATAAGAGTAGATGGCAAAAAAAATATTTGTTTTTCCGAATTTTAATATAAAAGTGTTGCCATTATTATTCAAATAGTAGTAAACTCAAACATTGTTTTAGGGAAATTTTTATTTGTATTCAAGTGAGAACAAAATGTTCCAAAAATTTCAATCCTATTTAAGTCTAAATGATTCAAAAATTTCCCTTATTTGAAATAGAATAAAAATTATAGGGCTCGTATGTCTTATTTTTCGTTATTAAATTTTTAAAATCTATTTTTCATTATTTTGCTGGCATATACACTAAAGTACTTTAATGTTAAATTAATTTAATATTTAAAAGAAATTATAGAACATTACAAGTATATTATATAATATTTGAATAGGTGTATGTTAACTTTAAGTATAGGCGAAATTTAAATAGAATTTTCTTTATTTTTAAGGCTTCGCATTAAAAACATTTACGTACCTACAATATAAATATTGTGTACGTCTAATGTATACATTAAAAGTTAAGAAACCATTTTGTCTATCTTTTTTTTGATAATTTTTAATTCTTTAAAAGAATTTCAAAGAATTACATATTGTAATGTTCTTTAAATTCTCTAAATTAATAAAAAAAAAATTCACAATGTTAAGATGACGTAAATTTTTTTCATAGTGTTGGTATACGTAATACGAATTTTCGTTAATGGCGTTCATACACAAAACAAAGACGGTTTCTATGCATAACATGAAAGATATGAGAATCAAGTTGAAAAACATCATTTTAATTCTGTCTTGTTTTGCAGGGTATTAAAAATTTTATGTTAACATGGTTTTCTTGTAATTTTCCTACAGTAACAAGAATACATGCGTAAGTATGTACATGAAAATATAGGCATTTCGTTCCTATTATTATTATTTTTAAAACTTATTTTATTAAAGTTAATTCCCATGTCATTCTTGTTTTATATTTTTAAATAAAATACAAACGATATTAAAATTTTGACAAATTACTTATATTTATGTACACAGAAAAAAAAATTTTTTTTTCCTTCAGATTTTTCATTACTATGGCTGATATTCAAAGAAAATTTTCATTATAGCATACGCATGCAACTTAGATACTATATGAGGGTACCTATATATACAACGAGAGTATGACTATATCGCATATTATTTGAAAAGATGCTTTTCAAATTGAAATGAATGTGTCTACTATTATTAAGATGTTTTTCGGTCGATTAACTATAAAAACAAAAAAAAAAATTCGTTTTACCTCAAAAATGTTGAAAACGTGATATGATTATAAAATGATTTTATTTCAGTTCCTTTTATTATTTTTTTTTGTGCCATAGTAGACAATTCAAAAAAAAAATATATATTCGTATACATATTGTATGTATAACAGTAATTGCATAAAATAAAACGATACCTAAAGTAATTTAAATAAAAAAAATATCGATATAATAAAGTAGAAAATTATCTATCTGAGGTCTAATTTCAATTATTTTCTTCTTTTACTTTGAGTACAAAATTTTGTATATCCATTAGGTTACCCATTTAGGAACATTCAAATATAACAAATTTTCCAATTTTCCATACTCGTACAAGTTTTTTCTCCTTTTTAATATTTTAATGAAAATTAAATTTTATAAAATTATTGGGTTTGAAAAGAGAGACCAAAATGTAATTGTATTTGAAATTGTTATATAAATTGTATAATTTGATTATTTGATTATAAATTGAGAAAATTTCTTATGATGATGGTTGAATTTCTATATAATTTGCCTAAAATTTAATAAGTAGAGTTCTCCAATACGTGCAAATATATCTTCGGAAGTGATGTAGAAATAAGGAAAAATTTATTTCATTTTTTAGTGGCCATTTTGTTTTCCTGACATCAAAATTCCGATAATACCGTTATATTGTAAAATTCAGCAATTATAATTCATAAGCTGAATTACATATCAATACCATATTACTTAAATTTCAAAATCATAATATCTGTATATGAAAATTTCTTTACATATATTAAACAAAAATCTTATATAAAGATGTCCTAACTTTAAAAATACTGTAAAATAGTATAAAAACACAATTCAGCTTATGAATTTTAATTGCTGAATTGTTTAGTAATATAGTATTGCTAAAATTTTGAAGTTATAGATACTCTATTTCATGAGCGGAGTCCACATAATATATCATTTTAAATTAATGATAAGAGAATAAAGCTTGATAACGAATAAATAATTTAGCTACATTTGTTTAAAATCCTAGCCATCTTAATTATGGTAGTACCGTGTAACTATGCAATTTAGCTTATTAGCTTTATTTGCTGAATTGCTCATTGATATAGTTCTGTTGCAATTACAATATTAATGAATGTATAACTTTTAATTTAAGCATTATAGAACATCGAAATTTAATTTACTAATAAACCCATTTATTATAGATTTTTCAGGAACAGCATTATATTCAGTATTACTTTAGTTTTGTATTATAATTATTCATGTTACCAAAATTAAAATTTTAAATTTCTATATTTGGAAAATGTCATAAAAAATTTTCAACAAGAAGAAAAAAAATCTACTATTCGCCAAAAAAAATTTTACTATTAATTAACTTGTTTTACGGTAATATTACCATTATTGGTGTGTTTTAAAATAAAAGAAGTATTTTTTATTTAAATGCTATTTTGTTATACAAATACATGCATATTTACTTTTATATAATTTGTAAGTAGTAGTAGAGAATATTACTTTTTTTTTTTGATTTCCTGATTTTATATTTTTGAATTTTTTTATTTATTTAGTTTTTGTTTTTTTTATTAAATAATTAATTTAAATTTTTTTTAATTATGCTATACTATGTAAATATGAATAGTTTTTCTTTTGTTTAGAGATATTAAGTATTTATTTTTACATACATATACATTTTTCATATATGTATATGCATACAAAATGTCGGCGGAGGAAACGGTTTTCATAAATTGATATTTAAATTTTTTTCTTTTATAGTAATTTGTAAAATATTTTTATTTTATTAAATTTGAAAAGATTCTTTATTATTTTGTATTACTTAATAATTTGTTATACTGTCATGAATAAAATAGAAAATAATTTAAAATAGGTAATTTGTTTGTAAATATATATGTATATAAGTAAGTATGTAAATATTTGAGTTTTGTTTGAATTTTTGGTATAAAAAATTTTTAATTTATAAGTTTTTTTTTTTGTGTTTTCTCTTTGTTTTAAATAAATAAATGTTATTATTATAATATACTTTTTATATTTATAGATTATTGTTTTTATAAATACTAATCTTTGTTGTTCTTAGGTAGAGTAATAAAATTTTAGACTATTATTATCAATAAAATATTTTTTTTTATTATTTTCTTTCGGTTTATTTTTATACATTTTGTTAATGTTAATGCTTTTTTTTCGATATTATTATCAATCTATAAATAATTTTATTTTATGTTGTTTGTTTTTACAATATTAATATTCTGTGACTTCAAAATTGCAATAGCACTGTTATAATAAACAATTCAGCAAATCTAATCTGTAAGCTGAATTGTTTATTAATGCCGCTTACTACGGGTTTTGAAGTTAAAGTTTGTTTTTGTTTTTTCAATTGATTTATTTTTAATAACGAAAAATGAAAGTTATCAAATAAATGTCCAATGGGTTATATAATGCCATTAATAAAACAAAATCAATAAATTGCTTTTATACTTAATTCAAGTGACCTGAATTATGTTAACGCTGAATTAAAATTAATTGCTACACATTATTGCATTTTCGAAATTAATAATTTAAGTTATTTTTAAAATTTTTTTCAATATGAATAAATTTAATATGGAAAAATATTAATATAATGTTTTTTAGAAATAAATGGCAATAATTTTGAATTCAGCAAGAGCTGAATTGTATGAAATAATTATATTACTTCAAACATTTTATATTAAATGTCATAAAAATTTTATTCAGCTTCAGCTGAATAAAAATTTATTAGCTGAATTTGAGAAAAATAAATTTTTTTAATTTTATTTCAATATAAAGCAAATAAAACTTTTGCTTTATATTTAATAAATAATAAACTTTCATTTTTATTATTTCAAAATAAATCATATTTTTACAAATTTTCGAAAATAAATTCAATAAATTTTTAATTTAAAAAAAATAAGGAAAATCATTACCAACTTATTAATGTTATAACGCAAAAAACATCCATATTTATGTATGATAATTTGTTCAGATCCTCCTTATATCCAGTAAATAAAGCTTAACACATTTGTTTAACTCCATTATCTTATTCATTTCTTTTTAAAAAGTATATAAATATAGAGTTTTCTCTGTTTTTTTTCCATTATATTGTATACATACGCAGACATATCTTAACTTTACACATCTGTTGGTTCAATTTCACAATCGCTGCTAGCACACGATTCACCATTAGCACAGCCCAACTTTCTAGAACTATCGCAGACAATTTTTAATATTGAACGTTTTTCATTATTAATATTACTATTACTATTACAATTACTATTATTTTTATTACTATTATTATTATTAATAAAATTATTGGCAACACTATTATCACTTATTATAATTTTAACTGGGTCATGTAATATACCAGCTCCATCAGCAACTATATTATTTTTATCAATATTTCCAATTAATGTATTATCAATTAGAATGTCATTATTAATTTCATTACAATATTTAATTTTTTGTTTTGTTAAATCACATAATTCTTCAACATAATTATCTTCATTAATTTCTTCTTCTTCTTGTACAATTGGCTTATTACTATTACGTTTAACTTTTGATATTTTAATAAAGCTACCACCATTAGTTGATAAACTAACATTCTTCTTTTTTTTTAAATAATTACATTTATCTAAATCAATAAATAGGGAGCCAGCAGCATTTGCTGCAACCGATGGTGATAAAAATTTACATGTATTCAATGTATACGCTGACATTTTATTTGTTGTTATGTTAATACTTGGTTTAGCACCACATTTTTCTTTTTTAATATTGTTATTATTATTATTATTATTATTATTTTGATTTGTACTAGAACTATTGTTATAATTATTATTATTACAAAAATTTTTACTGCTATTTCTATGAAAATTACTGGCACTTGAACGTAAAAAAAATCCTGTAATACTTGATTGATGTTTTTTCTTCTGATGATTATTTTGTTGTTGTTGTTGATGATGTGATGGTGATGTTGATATTTGTATACCACGTTTATGTAATTGACGATCTTTTGCTCTTGAATCTAAATTAAATAAACGTTTGACACCACGTCGAACACGTTTATTACGATAAGCAAATATTATTGGTGAACTTAAATTACCTAATAATACAACAAAAACAGCTAATTGTGTTGCATGATTTGATAATGAAAATATACGACCTTGTAATAGAACTAAAATACCATATGGTAAATATGAGACTAGAAACATTATAACGACTAGTATACTTATACGTGCTGCACGAGATTCTTCACGATATTTAAATAATGATGATGCATTTGATAAACGATGACGTATTGATGTCATATAACTTAAAGCTTTTGTTGATGTATTCTGATGTATATTTGGTGGTAATTGTAATGCATGCTGATGATTACAATGAGTTGAAGATTGTGTTCTATTAAATGGATGACGTACATTATTTGTATTATGAATAATATTTAAATTTTTATGTCTAATACTATTAAAATTTGTATTTAAATCAATATCTGATAATGAATCATCTGATTCATTATTTTCTTTATTATATTTTTGTAAATTTGGTGTTGAATGAACTTGTCTTATACTAGCAAATCTATTTAATTGATTGCTAGCAATTTTATTAATTCCATTACTACCAATTTCAAATTCATTTTCATCTAAATCTAATAAGGCCAATTGACGAGTACTATAATTTCGTTTAAGTTCATCATTAGCTTTTGATAATGTTAATAAAATATTATTTTGGTTTTTATCTTTATTGTTTGATTTATCTGGTGATACACTTGAACGATTTGAATGCTCTGTACTGTCATTATTACTACTGTTATGGTTATTATTATTATTGCTACTAATACTATTCCTATTATCACTTGTATTATTATTTAAAACTGCACCAGATATTAATAATGAAGGTTTTGCAGTAGTATTATCATCATCATTAAAATGATCAATACGCATTTGTAGGCCTTCATCCATTTTATAATCATCTTTATTTAAATGTAATGTTGATGCATTAAAACTATGTAATGGATTTATACATATATGATTATGTGAATTACTTTTTGTATGTGTATAATGATGATTTTTATTTTGATTCATATTATTGTTGTGATGCGCTAAATTTAATGCACTTTGTAATAATGGTGATGAACCATTTTGACGCATTCTTAAACCATTTTCACGTGCTTCTGAAAATATCCTCCAATACATACAACATACTAATATAAATGGTGTTAAGATTATCACAATAAAATATATACATGAAAATATCATATTATATAAGTTTTCATGGCCGAACATAATCATTTCAAATGTTAAACCATCTTTTCTATGGAATGTTGTATTCTCAATGAAATCACCATCTAAATATGTTGATATTGTTGTATAAATTTCTGTATTAACTATTTCTGTATCATTTTGATTATCATCATTAATATTATCATTATTATGAATTTTTAATTTTGGTCTTAATATTGTTTCACTGGTTAAAGTTGTTTCACGTAATGCTGACAATATACCAAATAAAATTGAAAAGAACCATATTATAGCAATTAATAACCAAGCTTTTAAACCTGATATTCTGCTATGATAACGTAATGGATCTGTAACAGCACACCATGTATCACCTACAATTAATAATACTGATAAAGCACCTAATGCTGCAACAAGATCTAATGACCAACATCTAATATCACTTTGTATATGTAATAAATTTTTATTATTTTTATAATCTAAATTATTAACATTATTTAAATTGTAATCACGATCATCGTCATTGCTTTCAACAATATATTCATCAATATCATCAAAATTATTAGAATTTTCAGCACCATTTTGAGAATTTTCAAAGTTATTTTTGTCATTTTTATGATTTTCTGTTATTCTATTTGTATGACTCTTTACTGAAGCCTGTGAATTCAACAATACATCATCATTATTATGTGGTGAAGATTCTGAAATTGAAATAATTTTATCTTTTCTGTCACGATAATGTTTTCTATAATTTTGTAATTTATGATTTTTTATTTCTTTTTCATCATCTTCTGTTAAAAAAATAATTTGTTTTTCGAGTTTTCCATCATTATTCTTTTTACTTTCATACTGCATTTTATTTTCATTATCGTTAATTATTTTACTTTTATCTGATTCAATGTTGTCCAAATCAATTGTATCAACATCATCATCACCAATTCCTTTTTTACTATCTCTTATTGTAGTGTCAGAAGCTAGATTTGAATATGATTCTTCATATGATGAGAAACTTTTACTATTAACACTACTATCAATACTGTCATCAATGTTGTCAGTAATTTTCGAATTTTTATAATTTACATTTTTATTATTTTTATTTTTGTTATGATAATAATTTTTGAATCTTTGTGCATTTTCAATTTTAATAATATTTTTCTCATGTCTTCTCTCATTTTCTTCTAATACTTTTATTGTATTACTGTCATCCAAATTATTACTATTGTTAATAATGATTTTTTTACATAAATTTCCCATACAAATTGCTTCTTCCGCAACATTTTTATTATTGTTGTTGCTATAATTTATGTTGATATCATCATTATTTTCTTCTGTGACGCTAGTAGTAGTGCTATGATTTTTAATATTATCATTATATTTTTCTTCTATTTTTGTATTATTATTGTTACTTAAGTTAAACTGATGATGATGAAATATTTGATTATCATAATAATTATTATGTTGTTCATGTTGATGTTGATGGTGATATTGATGATGATCTAATTTTTTATAAATTTCTGTTTGATCAATTGTTTCATAACTATAACTATTTGAACGTAAGAATAATGTTGGTGCTAATGCTAAACATCCAATAATATTAACAATTAATAAATTTATCACAAAACGATTAGCCGTTGTTCGTAAGCCGGGTGTCACCCAAAATGCTCCCAATGCAAGTACATTTATTGTTAATGATAATAATAATAAACATAAAATTAAAAAATCTATTGCCATATTTGTACATAATATTTTTTAATAAAACTTAATTTTTTATTTTCTATTTTTTTATTGAGAAAAATAAAAAAAAAAAGTAATTTTTGTTAACAGTTTCTCTGTTTGATTGTTTGTTTTTTTTTTTTTTATTCACTTTCTATTAAAATTTATTTGTATTGTTGCCAAATTTTTATAAAAGTTTTTATTTTTGTTTAATTTTAATTTCAATGTTGCCAAATTTTTTCGCAAAACTTTGATACCAAATCTGAAAATAAATAAGAAGAAAATATATTTTAGATGTTAAAATTTAAGAATTTTATTTATAAAATTACAAAGAAAATATTAAATACATCTTATTTTATTAAACTAATTTTAGTGACTGAAATTCCTAATAAGAGCTAAAATATAAAATTGGCATGATTACACTTACATATTGTAATTGTAATATTATTAATGTAACATTGAAAAAAAAAATTTCAAAAGTTCAAGTTCAGTTCAGATTCAAATGAAACATAGGAAAATTTTTAATTTTTCTTTATAAAGTAGAAAAATTTTAAAAGATTAGAGCCGCATCTAACTGTTAGAATGATAAAAAATAATAATAAAAATATTTGAATATAACAAGTAAGAAGAATTTAGGCACAATCGCATAGGCATAGCTTTAATATCTTAAAAAATTCAGAAAAAAAGTTCATCGATATTTGAAAAAGGATTAAGTAAAGTTTATTCAAAAAAAGAAAAAAAAATTTGAAATTAAATAAAGAAATAAAGTACAAATAAAAGGTTTAAATTAAAGTAAACAATTTATTTGAATGCAAAAGATATTTGAATTAAAAACCTTATGCTTTCGCTTGATAGTACAAAATAATTACTACTTACAATACAACCAAAATACTATTTGTATAAAATTATGAAATTTTTAGATTTTAATTTTAATTTACTCATATAAGTTTGAATTTAATAGAAATCATATTGGGATTTAAAGGGATAATTTCATTGTTCTGAATTACTATATTGCATATACTTATTTACTGGTAAGCTAAGAATATAAGTAGTAAAACCATTAATCAAATAACATCTATAAATAATAGTAAGGAATGTTAGTATATAATGCACGTGGTACTTTTGGAAATTAAAATGGTACAAAATACTAAAAATACTTAAAAAATTCAATTAAAAAATAAAAGATTAAAATGATGTTGGTGAAGAGTTTAAGATTAAAATTTCGTTTCTTTAAATAATGTGGCGTTATTATACATAGAATATTTTTATGGGTAAGAATCAAATAAGAACCTAATTTATATTATTCTATACCTAATATTTTAAAAGTGAAATTTTTCCTATCTTTATTATTTTTTCTCTTTTTTTCTAAATTGCGGAGAGGAGACATAAGCCACAGTAGCCAGACATAGCTTATCGTAACTCTCCCATATCCCACTTAAATTAATCTGCTTTCAAGCATATACCCGGAGATATCCCTCAGAGACTGGCCAGAGCAGGACAGTCACATAGAATTTGTATGGCTGATTCCTTGTCGTCCCGACAGAATCTACACAAAAGGGAATCCGATTTAACCTAACTTTACTAAATTTAAAATTTTAATAAATCCCAAAATTTACCTTTAAATTAATTTTTTGTTTTTGGTTTTCTTCGGATTTTTATCAAATATTTTTTTGTTGCTGTTTTAAAATAATTTATAAACTGTAAAATTTATTATTAAAAGTCCTTAAATTTTGAAAAGTCCTTGAATATTTTTCACTTAATTTAGTTGCCATTATTGAATGTTATTTTGAATAAAAATTTTTTAATAATTGTTTTTTTTTTTCTTCTCTTATAAATAATTCAAAAATATTCAAATTTTTTTTTATTTACCCAAAAATTGTATTTTTTTTTTTTTGTAATTATTATCAAAATATTTTAAAATTTTGAATCGTATGTTGTTCGTTCGTCTTCTGTTTATTGTAATTTTATGGTTGAATTATAACAGTTCACTTTTTATTATAAAATATCACTTATTTAAGTGATGATCATTATTCATTATTAGTATATATATTTTGTGTATACACATACAGACATTTTATTCTGATAAGTGATAAGAAATTAATTATATTTAATAATTTTGACAGAAAATACAATATTTTTTCTTTTTTTTATATAATAAGGAATTTAATTATAAAGATTTTCTTTGTTTTTTAGACTCAATGCAAGTTATAATTCATATATATGTATATGTGTATATATATATTTTATGGGTTTTATTTTGTGAATTATCAGTAAAATATTTTTCTAAATATTGATTGACAAAATAAAAATAAATGTTTCCTTTAATCAATTTCAAATAATCAATTATTCATTGAATTGCTGAATCATTTAGAAAAATCTTTATGTATATATATATATATATATTTTTGTATTCACTCAAATTCACTTTAAATAAATTGATAAGCTTTTAAATAATTATGACTGTAACACACTTATTTCTTTTTTTGTTAATAGTTAATAACACTGAAAATTTTATTGACTTGACTTTTTAGAACTATAGCACCTCATTTATTAAACATTTATCAATATTATTAACAATATTTGTTTGATGTGCTAAATTTTCATTTGATTTAATTATTAGATCATTTTAAAATTAATAATTATTATTTTATTATTTTTTTTTTTTTGTACGTTAAATAAATATTTAATTTTTTTTTTATCAATTTAAATTATGAAAATTTTTCAATTATATTTATGATCTATTTTTTTCCATGAATATTAATTTAAAATTATTACAATAATATAATTTTCTTTATTAATTTTAATAATATTTTATAAACATATATATTGTATAATAATTAACATTTCTTTGTATATTTTGCAATAATATTTTTCATATATTTTTTTGTCCAAGTTTTTTTTTTTCCGCTCAAAAATCCAATCCAAAAATAACTTTTTTTTTTCCAAAAATAAACCTGAAAAAATAAAAAATTATTTATTTTATTATTTATCATCATTATTGTAATGTATTAAATTTTAAAAAATATTTTTTTAATTTAAAATATGTGATAAATGGTAGTCGTTAAATACTTAATTGAACTCATAAATACTTAATTGTTTTTCAATAAAAGAGAAAATAAAATATTTATTTTATGAAATATTCATAAATTGAGTGAATTTCTTTTAAAATTTAAATTGTAAATATAAAATAGAACGGGAGCATTACTTGTTTATTTGTTATATTTTGTAAATAATAAATGTACTTATTAAAAAAGTATAATTATAGGTTAATTTATTCGCACATTTATAAAAAAAAATTTTCCATATACAGTAGATTTCCATTAACTATGAGAAATTTTTAATTTTTTTTTTTTTTAAATTAATAAATAATGGAATAGTGTGCTAAATATTTTTTTTGTTATAAAAGTATTACAATAAAATATTTTTGTTTAAATTTTAAATATTTTGAATTTTTCTGTGAAAAATATTTAATTTTAATTGTTAATACACATTTAACAATGTAACAAAAACAAATAGTACATAAAGCAAAACTGTTATACAACTGTTATACAACTGTTATACAAATTGCATTTAACATTAATTTTTACTACAAGATGGAAAAATTTTATTAAATTGTGATCTTGTAATAAAATTTATTTTGTACTTATATATAAAAGTATAATGCACACTTTAGCTTGACTGTAGCAATCATTTTATATTAAAAGTTATAGTGCTTTCAAAAAAAAAAAAAATTATATTTTCGATATCATTTATACCTACGGTCTTGTATTCAAATTAATTTATATTATATTAAGTCAAATTTCAAATGCAAAATTTAAGATCTAAGAGCGCGTTAAAAATTAAAAATCGCAATAAGTACAAAGAGAAAGAATGCCAAATATAGACTAAATCATAATTTTTGCATAACAACATGTTTATTTAAAAACATTTTTTCCAATACATACATACACATTGTTGTTGAATATACGTGAAATGTTTATGTAAAGAAAATTCATGCATGTTACATTAACCTTTTATTTAAAAAAAAAAAAAAGGGCGATTGAATTACGATAATTAATAATGAACACCGTTATATATCATGAAAGAAATAAAATCAAATAAATCAATTAGATAATTATAAAATTATTTTATGCAATAATAAATTTTAATTTATTCCTAATATACACATATAAAGTCCAGCAAACTTATTGAAATTCGAGTATTAATATTATATTGTAATTGAATAAAGTCTGTATAACACTACATATAATAATATTGGAGAAAATATTAACAAATTTTTATTATTGTTGTACATCGGTATAATATAGTTTTATGAGGGTATAGGTGAATAAAATGAGTTTTTATTATTATTATTATTATGATTGTAGGGAGAATGAACTTCAGAAATTAAGGTATATCAAATTAAAAAAATTATGTTTTATTACTTAACTTATATTTGCATTTGCAAATAAAAAACTTATACTAGCATGTTTTTCGCATAATCATTTATACAAAAAATTTAAAAATAAATTTTATATTTATGGAATTTTGGCATGTTATAGTTACGACATCAATTATAATTAAAATAATATTTGTGTTGCTACAAGTAAGTCCATGATTGAATTTCAAAATGAAAATGTACTAAAGAAAATTTTATATAATGTAAAACAGTAAAAATTTCATTATATAATTTCAATTACATAATTTTATATAATCTGTTTGTTATATTTAAATTATGTAAAAATTTAAATTGTTATACAAATTATTCTGATTTGAATTGATATGATAGACTTTGATTTGATATATTTGTAAAACTGTTATATCCCAGTGATAGTAAGAGAATAAATAAAATTTTTAATGTAAATTGCATTGTTTTACCCTAGAGCATCTATAATTTAATCGCTTGCTTGAAATTGTTTCAGTCAACTAAAAATATCATATATTAATTTGCCATTTCATTAAACGGAATAATAATTATTTTTTTAATTAAATGTATACCCATTAATTATCATTGTTGTTGTTGTTGATGATCCAATCTCACTTTTTTATTAAATTTCTCTCTTATCAATTTTTGTCTTCTCATATAACTACTTATTTTAAAACGCATATTTAATTTTAACGTCATTGTTAATTCGCTATACTTAATACAGAAAAACAAAAAATTTTGTTTGCTTACAAAAGGCAATGATAACAAATTCTAAGCTTTTCTTTTACGTGTCAAAAATAATACAGAAAGAAAGAGGGAGAAAGAAATACATTTAATATGGTTTATTAAAGTTTTTGTCATAGAATGATAACATTGCGTTTTAAAGTATGTATGTGTATATAGAAAACTGTAAATTACTCCGTAATAATTGCTAATACACTTTGTATAAATACAGCGATCTTCTATATATATGAAAATTCTGTTATATGTATAACAGTTAAAACTAAGTAATAAAATTAAATATACTGATTTGACGTTAAGCATCTATATGCGAAAATGTTATGCTATCTATAAATAAGATAAATGTATAACTGTTATACAGAGGAGAAAAAGGTGTCATATAATTATTACTTTTAAAAATTATTGTTCTTACAAATTCGTTAAGTGAATTCTCTCACTCTCAATTCATTAAACTAGAAGTATACTCGAAAATTTGAAGCTAATTCACTTTTCATTAACTTTCTTATACTCATTCTACGAATATGCGTATTATATATAATTGTTATACACAAATTCGCAATAATTTGCGTATAACGGATGACATTCCATCTCAAAATTTTCTCAAAATATTTTACGTAGCCAAAGATACTATAAATCAGATTACCAGTGGGTGGTTCACAGGGACTTGCTAAAAATTTTAAAAAATTTATTATAACAATTACATTTAAAAAAAAAAAATTTTATTTACTTTTAAGGGTATTCCAAATAAATTCTTATAAAATTTATAAATAAACATAAATACGAGTAGCCATATTAAACAAAATATTTTGTTTGTGCCTTAACAATATTTTATTTATGTTAGTTACTATTATGATATTTTTAAAGTGTTTTCTTTGGTATTCCTTTGTCAACACAAAAATAAAATCAAACTATAAAAAAAAAAAAATTCTAAATAAATCTCTTTTTCAATAAAATTATATTTGGCATAATACCGACAATATAAATAAATAAAATGCACAAACATATATACCCATATATTATGTAAGTATGTCAAGATAAGGACACAGTTTACGAGTACCTATATGTATATATATATTATGTAATGTGTCTGTATAAGATAAAAATCAAAATATTTATTGTTACAAAATAATGTCAATTTAGAAAAGGATTCCATCATAAACAAATCAATTTTACTCTCTTCATACCACACATACATATCAACTATATTTAAAATTAAATTACGTATAATATACGCGAATAAACAAACAACACACATGAGAATTCTATATAAATTTGATGGGAGCCCCTTTTTTTAAATTCACCGAAATCGGAAATTAATGTAGGTTGTTTTTCTTTTTCATTCACATGATTATACTTACATAACTTTTATACACAAGTATTCATAGGGGATTTTTTGTTTACTAAATATATTATATGTAAGGAATCTGCTATTGAAAATTAGATCAATTCAATATTAATAGAAAGTCTCCTATTATAGTGCAAATAAATTAAATTTTCTATATTTATAAATTATTTTTTGAATCCTAATAAATTTTATTTCTTTTTTTTTTTTTGAAAAATTGAAATTCTTTTGAGATTTGAACGCATCAAATTTAATTTTATAAAATGATTAAAATTTCGAAATGGAAATTTAAATATATGTGTGTGTGTAAATTAAAATTAATTTCAATTCTATAGGTAAAAATTAATGTAGGCCTTCCTCTACGTAAAACTTGATTATCA